TGAGGGCAAAGACTGCCATTAAATTTATTTATTTATTTTGATTTTTTAAAATAAGTTTTTATTGATTTTTTTTTGGGGGGGGGAGAGGCAATCTGGATTAAGTGACTTGCCCAGGGTCACACAACTAGTGAGTATCATGTGTCTGAGGTCGGATTTGAACTCAGGTCCTCTTGGCTCCAGGGCCGGTGCTCTATCCACTGCACCACCTAGCTGCCCCTATTTTGATTTTTTTTAATCCCTAGAGTTTCTTTAGAGAGGCAGCATAATATAATGGAGATAAATAAATAAATAATAATAGTACATATAATATAATGGTATAAATACAATATAATGTGATAATGTAATATATTATATATAAATATAATAATATGAAAGAGAGCCAAGAGAGTCAAGAAGGTTTGGGAAGATGGTGAAGTAGGTAAAAAAACTCCAGGCTCTCCAAATTTCCTCCACCTAAAAGACAGAACATAGCCTCAAAGTGTACTTAGAGTGGCAGAAATAAATAAAAGTGAGGGTAAAACAGCTGTCCTCCCAAGACAACTTGAGAAGACTTCACAAAAACTGAGGTGGAGGTTTGGACTGAGTGAAGTACACACATCTCCAGGCAGGCTTGTTGAATCAACAAACAACAAGCCCTGGGGGGCAACTGGGTTAGGTGCCTCCTGGCCTCAGGAGACAGTGGAGGGGGGGGCTTGGAGGGCTGAACAGGGGAAGATTGAAGGACCTTCTGCTGTCAGGGCTGTGGGTGAAAAGGAGGGAGCACATGACCAACCAGTGAGTGAGTGCAGTAGCAGAGGGGTGGAGACCCTGCTGGCTGTGGGCACTCGCAGGACAGCAGAATTCCTGGTTTTGGGTCCATGGTATGGGGAAAAGCCGGTTTTGGAGCTGCCAGAGGGACTGCAAGGACAAGAGTGTTTGTGGGACAGCATGGCTGGGGTCCCTAGCCATGGCTAAAGAAGTGCCTGAGGGAGAAACTAGTGGGGAAAAAAAAATGTAAAGGAAGGAGGTCAACAGTACCAGACTTCCAACGATATTATAAAAGCAGTAAATATCAAAACTATCCAGTTGTGGCTAAGAAATAGAAAGGTAGATCAGTGGAACAGAGTAGACGTACAATACATGTATGTGAAAGGATTATAGGAAGCTTGTATTTGACAAATGTAAACATTTAAGTTCTGCGGATAAGATTTCATTGTTTAGCAAAAATTGTTGGGAAAGCTGGAAAGCACTCTGGCAGAAATTGGGCATAGACTAATATCTTAAACCATGTGCCATGATGAGGTCAAAATGGATACATGTCCTAGATATAAAGAGAGGTATCACAAGAAAATTAGAAGAACATGGAACATATTACTTATCAGACATGAATAGAAGAACAATTTATGAATAAATAAGAGATAGCATTGTGAGGCGTAAAATGGATAATTTTGATTTATTAAATTTAAAAGTTCTTGTATAAATTGAACCAATATAACCAACATTAGAAGGGAAGGAGAAAATTGGGGAAATTTTTCATAGATAGTCTCTCAGATAAAGGTCTCATTTCCCAAATATATAAAGAACTTTGTCAAATTTATAAGAATATGAGTCATTCTCCATTTGACAAATGATCAAAGGATATGAACAGGCAGTTTTTCTATGAAGAAATTAAAACTATATATAGACATATGAAAAAATGTCCTAAGTCATTATTGATTAGAGAAATGCAAATAAAAACAATTAGGGGACATCATCTTATGCCTATCAGATTGACTTCAATTAGCGAATGGCTAAACAAGTTGTGGTTATATGATTGTGATAGAATATTACTGTGCTATAAGAAATGATGAACTGGTTCATTATAGAAAAACATGGAAAGACTTGAACTTATGAAGGAAGATGCTAATCACCTCCAGAGAAAGAATTGACATATAGAAATATGTATAGTCTTACATACATATATGTATGTATATATGTACACACATATATGCATGTGTGAATATATATGTGTGTGTATATATATATACATATATTCATGTTTAATTGTAGCCTCCTCTAGGGCAGAGTGGGGAGGAAGAGAGAGAAAAAAGTGCACAGAAGAGAACAAAAGAAAACTTAGAAGTAAACACAGAAAAACTAGGTAGATTTGAAAACAACATGCAGTATCTATTGTTTGTTTTTGTTTTTTGCTAGGCAATGGAGTTAAGTAACTTGCCCAGGGTCACACAGCTAGTGAGTGTCAAGTGTTTGAGGCCAGATTTACACTCAGGTTCTCCTGAGTCCAGAGCTGGTACTCTATCCACTGCACCACTTAGCTGCCTCAACGTGTAGTATTTATTACATCACAGAGATTGCTGTCCTTTGTTCTTGAAGAGGATCATGGCATCAAGGAGGTAATTCCATGGCATGCAAATGAATTGGATTTAAGTGAGGGAGGGCTGTGCAAAGTCACCAGCCTCACTTTCTCCTCCAGAGTCATCTGGGTCCAGTGGCAAGATATAGATCAGAATGACTAGAAATGGCCCAGGATGCAGTGGGAGACCTTGGTCTTTTCAAGCTAAGGTCTTTAACCTTAATTTAATTTAATAAGAAATGGGATAGAGAATAGTCTCTTTTAAAAAATCAGTCTGTGAGGGGAAGACCCTCAGAGTTCCTGACCAAAAGAGAAACAACTGCTATTTACATAGTTTTTCACTTGAACCCTCAGACCCCTCTCCCACTTTCCAGTGGTGATGGTCCAGTTCCTTACAGACACTTTACCCTGAGGAGACAATATGACTGTTCATACTATTTGAATGACATGGAGTCACCAATTACAGTCCTTGCAGTGAGATGGAGGTCTACCAGACTTCACTATTTGACCTGCCACTATGGCCTTCAGATCCCAGGTACTGTCATTATACACTTACCTGCAGTTGCTCTGTCCAAAGGAATATAAATTTTGATGGCTGAAAGTTCCTGAGATATCTTAGGGTTTACAGGCTAGATTTCTTTCTTAAGCATCATGCCTTAAACCCAATTCACTCGGGCTTTCATTGATTGGCCAACAATGAGTCCCAGTCTAAGTTTCATTTGGTCACATTGTTTGGGCTCTGATGGCTCAGAGTAAGTGTAAATAGCAATTGTTCCTGTTTTGGCCAGAAACCCTGAGGGTCTTCCCCTCCCATATCAATTTTTTTTTTTTGGCTAAGTAAAACAGGCCATTCTTTGCCTCATTTCTTACTTAGCCTTAACCGCTGAATGGGCATTGTCTCAGTCAAACTGAGACCTGGGAAAGACCTTAGCTTAAAAAGGCCAAGATCTCCCACTGCATCCTGGGCCATTTCCAGTCATCCTGATCTATATCTTTCCACTGGACCCAGATGACTCTGGAGGAGAAAGTGAGGCTGGTGACTTTGCACATCCCTCCCTCACTTAAATACAATTCACTTGCTTGTCATGACATTACCTTCCTGTCTTCATGGTCCTCTTTGAGAACAAAGGACAAACAACTATTTGACCTGACACTATGGCCTTCAGATCCTAGGCACTGTCATCTGATCTGCTAATGTCTCAGCCTCACCATCTGACTTTCAGCTTCACCCTTAGAATTTGTGGATCTTTCTATTTTCCTTGAAGTTGAATTCTCGTATATTTGTTATTTCTCCCAAATTGAACATAAGCTCTTTGAGAACAGGAACTATCTGACTTTTTCAGTTTGCATTCCCAGAATTAAGCACATTGTTCAGCACAAAGTAAGTATTTAAGTGCTTTTTCCTTCCTCCCTCCCTTTCTTCTTTCCTATGGGGACTACCCACAAGCCATCGTAACTCTGCCCTTTTCTCTCCCACCTCTTCACTACCACTCTCATTTGCCCCTATATCACCTATAAGAATATAATGAAGAATGTGATGCCTGAGAGTGATACAGAAAATGTTTTTCCAGTGGAACGGAGAATGTATAGGATGGTGTAATATGTTATTTTAATGGGCATCAATGTACCCCTCAACTATGATCAGCCCCATTATCCTCACTCCTACTTCCATTCTTTTGCCACTTTCTCCTAGGCCCTATGAGATGAGGAGAGCAACAGCAACAATAGTAGTGGCAGAAGTAAAGGCAGTGTCTAGCACAATCCTTTACACACAGTAGGTGCTTAATATTTGTTGAACTGAATTGAATTGGAGGCAATGTGATACTGCTGTACCACCTGGGAGCCAGAAGACCTGAGTCACTTAATACCCACATGATAAGGTCATACAGGCAAGTCACTTGAACCTGGAGACTCGGTTGCCTTATCTATAAAGTGAAAGTGTTGACTTAAGAGTCCATAGGGTCCCTTCTAGTTCCAAATCTGTGATTCTATGAAAAGTAGGGACTATCAAATTAACTGATAGAGGGACAATGTCTTTCCCCCTCAGTACCCTTCTCTGCACACTTATTCTTTAGTGAACCTGGAGCCAAATCACACGGAAATCTTGGATGTCACAAGATTAAAATGTTACACAAGGTTTAAAAACTCAAGCCCAAGATCCCTGAAGGTTGCACCGTTTACATTACCTGTATAACGATTCCTTTCTCCTTATACTCAACTTGTAGTGCTTTGGAAAATGTGCATACAAAGGCCTAGAAAGAAAAGGAATTAGTCATCAAAAAGTTTCTCTCCTACTAACCCCAGGATACACAATTACTGGAAGGGATACCAAAGGAGCTTCTCTTTTTCAGCCCTGAAAATTTCAATATCATCTTTCCTTTTTCTCTCTCCTTCATCCCCTACCTCCAATTCTGTCTATTTTACACCAACAAAAATCTCTCCTATCCCTCCCCTACTCTCTACTCAATACAAACTTTTTATCAGGCATTTAAGGTTCTCTAAAATCTAACAGCAACCTGCCTTTCCAATCTTATTTCATATCACTCTCCTTTATTACACTCTGTTCTCTATCCAAACAGTACTACTAATTACCCTCTGATCATATTCTGCCCTTTTCTGCTGTGTTCAGTCATTTCAGTTACGTCTGACTCTTTGTGACTCGATTTGGGGTTTTCTTGGCAAAGATCCTAGAGTGATTTGCCATCTTCTTCTCTAGCTCATTTTACAGGTGAGGAAATTGAGGCAAACAGGGTTAAGTGACTTGCCCAGGGTCATACAGCTAGTAAGTGTCTGAGGCCAGATTCAAGTCTTCCTGATTCCAAACCCAATGCTCTATTCACTGTGCCACCTAGTTACCCTCTGCCCTTTTCACTCCTATGTATGTGCATCTTATGCCTAGAGTACTCCCTCTTCATAGTAATGATAGCTAACATTTATATAGCACTTACTATTGCTAGGCACTGTGTTTTAACCCTTTACAATTTTTATCTCATTTGATCCTCACAATGACCTAGACAGGTAGGTGCTATTATTGTCACCTCCATTTCAGAGATGGGGCAGCTGGGGCAAATAGGGGTTAAGTGACTTGCACAGGGTCACACAGACACTAAGTATCTGAAGCCCAATTTGAACTCAGGTCTTCCTGACTCCAGGCTACCCACTGCACAACCTAGCTCATCCTTCAAAGCTCATGCCCTGTGTTATCTATATTATATAACATTTATTTGTACATATGTCATATATGCCCCCTGTTCCCTGACTCGTCCTAATAGGCTGTAAACTCCATGAAAGGAGGTTCTATGACATGTTTCATCTTTTTTATGTTAAGCGTATTACACATAGTAGGCACTCAATAAATTTTTGTTGAATGTCCAGTACATTGTATGTAGTAGGTATTTAATTTTTTAATTGAAATGAAAAGATAGCAATTTCCAATTATGAATGAGTGTTGATTTCCATAAAGATCTTTCTATTGCCTTGTACTGGAAAGAACTTTCCCATAATAATGAAATCATTCTTTTTAGTGGGGAAAAGTCAATGTATTTAATTTATATTCTTCTCTTGTATATCACTTATCTTCCTGAGTTCAAATTTTGTTTGCCTCTGTTTCCTCATCTGTAAAATGAGCTGGAGGAGATGGCCAACCACTCCAACCACAAAAAGTCAGACACAACTGAAATGACTAAACAACAATGACAAAAGTACTTTTTTCTCTGAATTTGTTTGATGTCTTTGTGGACATCCCTGCTAACCTCTTGCCCTTCATGGTTGGATGACCTCTTGGTGCCACATCACTGCTACTATATTGTAAGTTTCTTTATTAGTTTTTAAAGTTCTTGAGGTCAGCATCAATCTTTGTATTCCTCTCAGCATCTAGCATACAGCAGGCAATTAATAAATGTCCACTGATTTTAATTGGGGGGGGATCAGCTTCTTTCTTAGAAACCTCAGCATAAACTGCCTAGAACTCATCTCATCAACAAATCCCAACCCTAACCTTTAGCCTGAACCTTTTATGAACTCTTTCTACCCTGAATTACATTCTAAACTAGTTGAACCTATGAGAAATCATTTTAGAAAATCTCCTATAAATCAGATTGGAAAAAGGAAGGGGAGAACAAAATGGGGAAATATATGTGATACCATTCAACTTGATGGACACTGAGACATCAAATTGGGCTCTCACTCACTTTTGTAGATGAGTAAATGCTATATAATGGCCAAGGGAAACGACCTGCCCCTGAGGAGATATTCAGAACCAGTCCTTTCCGCCTGAAATCAAAATAAGCAAAGTTTCACACATACTTGTGACAAGATTCCATCATACACAGAAAAAAAAAAAGCAATAAATGAGTCTCGTGGGGATTGCCACACAACTCTCCATGTTCCCATTTGTATTAAGAGAATTGCTTCTAAATCTTATAAAATGGCTTTACCATCCCCCTTTATTAATTAGGATCCCCCAATAATGATTGTTGAACTTACAATAGCTACAATGTCATCTTTGGGGTTCTTGCTGTGGGATCAGGTCATAGAAGTAACCTTGATATAATAAAAGCCTTCACAATCCTTCTGGTAACTAATTCCGGATGGTTTCAGATGGATTCACAGTACTACCAGTGTTATACTAATATAGGTAATATTATAGAATGTCCCCAACTCTTCTCTTTGCCTCACTTTTAAAGTAGAAATTTCTTTTTAAAAATAAATCCTATGTGTTCTCTCAATTCAAGTCAATTAGGCAATTATTTATCAAGTGCCTAATATATACAAAGCACTATACTTGTGATACAAAGACAGAAATAAAAATAGTTCCTATCTTCATAGAGTACACATTCTAGAGAGGCAGCCTGGTAGAATGGAATTGAATGCTGGATTTGAAGTCAGGAGATCTAAGAATCCTCTCCCTCTTGAAATTATTTTGAGTTCATTTATTTGGATAAATGTATTCTCCTCCTCTGCCCCTAGCCCCAGGAGAATGTGAGCTCCTAAGGAGCTGGATATGGTTCACTGTTTTGTCTTTGTGTTTATCTTGCAGTGGAGGCTAAAAATGGTTTAACAAAAGCATAGCAAGATATCCACCTAAGCAAAGTTATCACAAGAGCCTTCAAGAATGAAAATGGTAGAAGGGCTACAAACCAGGGTAAAAATGGAGTTTTGCAAAAACCATACTAATAAACTGTTTTCTCCATCACAGTGAACCATCATGCTTGGACCACGGTTTCAGACATACTTCTCTGAAGCTTATAGAAACAGCAAAAGAGAACAAAAATGGGGAAAGTGGTCAGATTGGACCAAATATAGATAAAAAGTGATCCAGGTTAGAGGTAATAGAATTGTGATGATATTGAGGGACTAAGATACGGAACATACTAAAGGTGTAGGGTGGGAAATAGAAGAATTTATTAAATATTGGGAAAAGGTAACTAAAGTAACTAAGAGAACATCAGTTACTGCCAACCTACTCTACCATCTATTCAAAATTGTTGCAAGAGTCCTCTCTCCACAATCAAGGGCAAACAAGGTGAGAGTAGTGGCAGGGGAACAACAAATTTTTGCACTTGATATTCCATAATTGATCACATCTTTACCTTTTTGCAATTAACTGAGAGATGTAGAGAATTTAAGATTGGACTGACTGTTTGCTGATAAAAAAAAGCATTTGATTCAAGAGGCCAAAATATTGCCTTACAAACTCGTACAAGTAGGTGTCTCCCATACATTGCTGTAATACAAGATTTCTTAGAAGAAATAATAGAAAAAATCTTCTTCAATGTCTATGTCTCTCTAAACACAAATATCAGGTGACACATAAAAAAGAAAGATGTATGTTTCCCAAAGGTATTTTTTGTTATTGTTTTTATTGGAATATTTCACATGAAAAGCCCAAACTCAGGAGATGGTAGCTGGAATAGATCAAATGGTAGCATTTTAATACAATGGTATCACTATTTAGCCATACACAAGTTACATCCAACATCATCTGTTCATGGGAACACACAACAGCAATTGTACAACTGGTTAGGTTGTACAATTTGGAAGAAATCCAGCACGGAGCCCAGGTCAAAGAGGGAATCCGTGTGAATACCAAGATTCAACAAATTCTCCTGTTTGTGGATGACATTGTGCTAGTTGCATCAATCCCCAAAACATTGCAGAGTTTTCTGCAAGAGATCTGTAATTATTCAAAGGAGTCTGAGCTGTCAAATCACACAGGAAAAATCAAGTAGATGAAGAACATCTATTTTCCAGATTTTAACATATATTTAGGGATGAGCAATCCAGATAACTTATCCAACAGTTGTTTTTCTGGGACAGATAATGCTGATGGACAGTGAGCTGACCCAGAGTTGAATAGGAGGAGAACAGTAGGCTGGATTGCTTTCAGAAAATTTTGAAGCTTTTTTGAATCTCAGATTCCCATGAAAGCAAAGGCCAATCTTTTCAATACTAATATTTTGCAAGTGTATAATAATGGCAAAGAGATGTGATATATCACTGCCTCTGAAGAGTTAAAAATGACTATCCCACAGAACACAGTGGAAAGGTACATGCTATATATGTGGGCAGTCTACACATATAACCAACAAGGAACTCCATTGAAGAACAGGAGCAAAGAAACTATGCAAGAGAAAGATGGGCTGATTAAGGGATAGCAGGTAGACAGGAAGGGCGCTCTGCTGGTACCCTTTCAATATCAGAAGAAAACGAGCAAGGCATCTAGCATGTTGGGAGGATACCTTCTGGCAAACTTTTGGGAAAACACAGAAAAGAGTAGTATAGCATTGGTAGGCATGGATGGATTACAAACCACATCATTGAAGGACACTGCCAAATTGATGAGAAAATGGATCCATTGGAGCAATGAATATTGAATTTGTTTAAAGTCGTGACCAGCACATAGTAGATGCTTAATAAATGTTTATGGAATTGAATTTAATTAAATTCCAGGCTCTTCCATTTGCATGTTTATGTGACCTTGGGCAAATACATTCAGCTTTCTGAGCCTCAGTTGCTTCATCTATATAACGAAAGGTTTTATAAACAAAAGGACAGTTAAGGTCCTTTATGGCTCTTAATGATCATAAGCATGAAGTTATAAGTCCAAAATATTTTTTCCTGTGAAAAATAAGAAAATCTGCTATTTACTGACTGGAGACTGCCTGAGAGAAAATATATTAGTACAGACATTTTCAAATAGGTGCTAAATAATAATAGTTAACATTTATAAAATTTCTACTATGTGCTAGCCACTGTGCTAAATGCCTTACAATGATTATATTATTTGATGCTCACAACAACCCTAGGAGGTAGGTGCTATTATTATCCACATTTTACAGATAAAGAAACTGGTAGACAAAGGTAAGTGACTTACCCAGTTTCACACAGTTAGTATCTGAGGCAAGATTTTAATTTAGGTCTACATGGCTCTAAACCCAACACTCTAGAACTATCCACTATGGGGGGTGTGTGTGTGTGTGTGTGTGTGTGTGTGTGTGTGTGTGTGTATGCATACATGTCAATCTGTCTCTGTGTGTATATATGTATATATACATATGTTTTACATGTACTTTTCTGTTTATGTGTTGTCATCCCCATCCTACCCAGAACCTTATGGTCAGAGACTGTTTTAATTTTTGCCTCTGTATCTCCAGGGCTAGCCAGGCACATGCCTAATACATACTATTTTAAGTGATTTAAGTTGAAGCCAGGGACCCTTGAAAAATGTAATTCAGTTTGAATTAAAAGGGCCAGGCTGCCACTTTAGTATTTTGACTTATACAATACCCAAATCCATATGAAAAGTTGGCCAGAAGATTCTGGAAAGATGGTGGAGTAAGTCAGAAAATTCCAAGTTCTCCAGATTTCCCTCACAAACAAAATAAAATAGTACCTCCAGGTGAACATAGAGCAGTAAAAATAAATAAGAGTAGGGACGGAACAGTTGTCCTCCTGGGACAATCGGCAGAGATCTGAAGAGAAGTCCCAGGAGGAGGTTTGGTCCCTGTGTAGAACAAACACCTCAAGGTTAATTGCACTTAAACAACAAGCCACTAGTGCTGTGGTTATCTGGGTTGGGAGGCTGCCTCCCTGCCAGCCACAGGAACTTTTACCCCCCACCTCCCACCTAGGACAGTGAGGGGAGTGGGGCATCTGAGCCAGGGAAGATCTAGGGAGCCTCTGCTAATAAGGAATGCCAGACCCAGCTGTGCTGTGGAGACACAGCCTTGAGTGAGAAGGAACCAGTACATGCCCACGGAGTGCAGAAGCAGTGGGTCAGGGGTGCCACTGGTTATGGGCACTTACAGGAAGCTGAAGGTCTTGGTTTCAGTTCCAGGACAGAGGGGAGAACTGAAGGAGGATCAGAGGCCAGAGGCACCATCCCCCATACCCCAGGAATAGAGGTGACTACAAAAAATATGCTGCTACAAATAAAAAAAAAACGCACAGACAAAGGAGAAAGAATCCAACCGCAAAGAGTTACTATGAGAATAAAAAAGACCAGGGTTCATCTTCAGAGGGGGATATTGAAGCAAAGAAACCCTTTTCTACACCAAAGAGTAATGTCAAATGGCCACCTGCCTGAAAAGAATTCATCAAAGAACTTTAAAAAGACTTTAAAAATCAAATGAGAGAGATTGAGGGAAAACTAAAATAAATAGATTAAGAACAATCCAAGAAAATCAAGAAGATTATGAAAAGAAAGTCAACCAGCTGGAAAAGGACTTCCAAAATCTTAAGGAAGAAAATGACTCCTTGAAAATCAGGGCAAGGGGAAGACAGCAAAGTAATAAGAGACTAAGAAACAATAAAACAAAATATAAAGAATGAAAAAGTAGAAGAGAACGTGAAACATCTCATAAGAAAAACAACTGATCTGAAAAACACATCAGAAAGAGAAAACATAAGTTAGACTACCTGAAAGCTATGATAAAAAAAAGAATCTTGATATAATAATAAAAGAAATAAAGAAAATCATTCTGAAGCATTAGAACAAGAGGAGAAAGTAGAAATAGAAAAAATCCACTGATCACCACTAGAAAGAGATCGTATGAGGAAAACCCACAGGAATATCATAGTCAAATTCTGGAACCCCCCAACTCAAGGAGAAAATATTATGAGCAACAAGAAAAAATAATTTAAAAAGGTGGTGGCACAATCAGAACAACACAAGACCTAGCAGTGATGACACTAAAAGACTGCAGGTCTTAGAACATTATATACCAAAGAGTAAAAGAACTGGAGTTCCAGCCAAAAACATCACACAGAGCAAAGCTAAGCATAATCCTGAATGGGAAAAACCCCCAACATTTAATGAATTGTCAGACTTCCAGTATTCCAGTATTTTTATTAATTAATTAATTTTTAGTTTTCCACATTCACTTCCACAAGATTTTGAGTTCCAAATTTTCTCCCCATTTCTCCCCTTCCCCCTAAGATGGCATGGATTCTTAACACCCTTCTCTCAATCTGCCCTCCTTTCTATCACCCCTCTTCTCTTATCCTCTTCCCCTTCTATTTTCCTGTAGGGTAGGATAGATTTCTATACCCCATTGCCTACATATCTTATTTCCCAGTTACATGTAAAAACAATTTTTAACATTCATTTTTAAAACTTTGAGTTCCAAATTCTCTCTCTTCCTCCCTCCCCACCCACACTCATTGAGAAGGTAAGCAATTCAATATAGGTTATAGGTAGCCATGCAAAACACTTCCATGGTAGTCATATTGTGAAAGACTAACTATATTTCCCTCTATCCTATCCTGCCCCCCCATTTATTCTATTCTCTCTTTTGACCCTGTCCCTCCTCAGAAGTGTTTGCTTCTTATTACCCCCTCCCCCAACCTGTCTTCCCTTCTATCATCCCCCCTCTCTTATCCCCTTACCCCCTATTTTCCTGTAGGGCAAGATAGATTTCCATACCCAATTGAGTATGCATGTTATTCCTTCCTTAAACCAAATCCAATGAGAGTAAGATTCACTCATTCCTCCCTTTTCTTTTCCTCCACTGTAAAAGCTTTTTCTTGCCTCTTTTATGTGAGATAATTTACCCAATTATACCTCTCCCTTTCTCTTTCTCCCAATACAATTCTCTCTCTCACCCCTTAATTTTATTTTTTAGATATCATCCCTTCATATTCAACTCACCCTGGCCCTCTGTCCATATAAATATATATTCCCTCCAACTACCCTAATACAAAGAAAAGTCTCATGAATTACAAATATCATCTTTCCATATAGGAATGTAAACAGTTCAACTTTAATAAGTTCCTTATGATTTCTTTTTCTTGTTTACCTCTTCATGCTTCTCTGGAGTCTTGTATTTGAAAGTCAAATTTTCTATTCAGCTCTGGTCTTTTCATCAAGAATGCTTGAAAGTTCTCTATTTCACTGAATGTCCATTTTTCCCCTGAAGGATTAAACTCAGTTTTGCTGGGTAGGTGATTCTTGGTTTTAATCCTAGCTCTGGAACATCATATTCCAAGCCCTCTTATCTTTTAATGTAGAAACTGCTAAATCTTGTGTTATCCTGATTGTGATTCCACAATATTTGAATTGTTTCTTTCTGGCTGCTTGTGATATTTTCTCCTGGACCTGGGAACTCTGGAATTTGGCTATAATATTACTAGGAGTTTTCCTTTGGGGATCTCTTTCAGGAGGTGATTGATGGATGCTTCAATTTCTATTTTACCCTTTGGTTCTAGAATCTCAGGGTAGTTTTCCTTGATAATTTCTTGAAAGATGGTGTCTAGGTTCTTTTTTTGATCATGGCTTTCAGGTAGTCCAATAATTTTTAAATTATCTCTTTGGATCTATTTTCCATTTCAGTTGTCTTTCCAATGAGATATTTCCCATTGTCATCTATTTTTTTCATTCTTATGGTTTTGTTTTATAATTTCTTTATTTCTTATAGAGTCATTAGCTTCCATTTGCTCCATTCTAATTTTTAAGGAATTATTTTCTTCAGTGAGCTTTTGGACCTTTTGACCAGTTGGCCAATTCTGCTTTTTAAGGCATTCTTCTTCTCATTGGCTTTTTGGACCTCTTTTGCCATTTGGGTTAGTCTATTTTTTAAGGTGTTATTTTCTTCAGTATTTTTTTGGGTCTCCTTTAGCAAGCTGTTGACTTGTTTTTCATGATTTTCTTACATCACTCTCATTTCTCTTCTCAATTTTTCCTCTATTTCTCTTATTTGCTTTTCAAAATCCTTTTTGAGATCTTCCATGGCCTGAGACCAATTCATATTTTTCTTGAAGGCTTTGTATGTAGGAACTTTGATTTTGTTGTCTTCTTCTGGTTGTTATGTTTTGATCTTCTTTGTCCCAAAGAAAGATTCTGTAGTCTGAGTTTTTTCCACTGTTTGCTCATTTTCCCAGCCAATTACTTGACTTTTAACTCTTTGGTACGTTAGGGCTCTGCTTACAGTGTGGAGGATGTACTGCCCCAAGTTTCAGGGGTTTTGTGCAGCTGTTTTCAGAGATACTTTTAGGGACCTGTAAATTTTCATTTCTTCCAGGTGGTATGATCAAAGGAGAAGTTTTTACTCCTTTCCTGGCCTGTGCTCTGGTCTATAAGTGACCACAAACAGTCTTTTCTGCCTTGGCAGTGTGAAGAGGATTCCCTCTCCACTGCCACCACAAGCTTCCCCATATTAGCACTCCTCCTTGCCCCAGGACTACCACTGAGGACTGCAACCCAGATCCAAGCATGGGCAAAGCAAGAGAATCCTTCCTCAGCATCAGCAAAGAGATCCCTGCAATCCCCCTCTTATCAGTCACTCAATCCCCCCACCATCTAGGGGCTGAGAGCTCTGGAAGCAGCCACCCCTACAGCTACCTGGAGCTGTACCAGGGCTGGGGCCCAACCATGCTCCTGTCTCACCCAGGTCCAACAGACTTTTCCAACTGACCTTCTAAGTTGTCTTTTGCATTTATGGGTTGAAATGTCTGGAAACCTCCACAGCTCCCCATGACTCAGTCCCCTGAGGCATGCTCCAGGTTCGCTGGGGCCCTGTCTTTGCCTGTATGACCCACATTGAACTGTGACCTTCTCCCAGCCTGGCATAACAGACCTTTCCCATCAACCATCCAGGTTGTCTTGGGCTGGAAATGTGTTTCACTCTGTCTTTTTGTGGGTTCTGCTGCTCTGGAATTTGTTTAGAGCCATTTTTACAGATATTTGAAAGGGTCTGGGGAAGAGCTCAAGCAAGTCATTGCTTTCACTCTGCCATCTTGGCTCCACTCCCCTCCCATTTTGTTTAAAAAAAATACCTAAACTTAATAGAAGATTTGACATACAAGAGCCAAGAGAAATATAAGATATATACCAAAGACTAATTACAAAGGACTCAATAAGGACAGACTGTTTACCTTTTATATGAGGAAATATAAAACATTTGTCTAAGATTGTTATTAGTAATTGGGTAGTTCATAAGAAAAATTGGGGTAAATCTGAGTATGATATGATTTTTAAAAGAAAAATTGTTTAGGAACAGCTGAAGACAGTAATTATCTTATACAAAACCAACACAGAGGAATTAGATGGGGGAGGACGGCTGGTAGTTCTGGAAACCTACTTTCATCCAGAATGGGTTCAAGAGGGAATAATACATATATATCTAAAAGAGTATTACAGTCCTCTAAACTCAGAAAAAAAATAAAACACTAAGGGGATTGGGAGGGAGGAGAGGATAAAGGAAGGATCTTTAGAGGAAGGGGAGGGGGGTATAGAAAAGTGTTTAGATCAATGGGAATGGGAGGATGAGGGAGGGATCCTTGGAGAGGGGTAGGGTAAGTAATAGGAAGGCAAGGTAGCAGATAGAAGTAAAGTAGAGGAGTTAGGAGGGACAGGAAATAAGAGATACACACAAACATAAAATAAAGATCAGGAGTAGAATTTGTTAGGGAAAAAGGAGCAAGGGTGGTAATCATGATCTCAGAGAAAATTAGGGTTAAAATAGATTTAATCAAAAGAGTAAAATAGGAAAACTACACTATATGTCAGCCATATTCATCAACATTGTTTTGGACTATTTAAAATAACTAGACAGCATAAGGTGGGATTATTGCTGTGGTGTAAGAAATGATGAGCTGGTGGACTTGGGAAAATATGGAAAGACCTCAACTTATGAAGGAAGAGGTTATGCACTCTCAGAGAAACAGGACTAATAAGTATAGAAAGGACTTAGATGGATGCAGATATCTAAGTATATGTATGTGTAAGTAAGTATATGTATGTAAGGGCATATGAGTGTACGTATGTATGTATGTATATATTTATTTATATTATATATTCTCTCTCTATATATATACATTTGTGTGCATATGTCTATATATGTATGTGTGTGTATTTATATATCCACTATTAATTGTAGCCTTCTGGGAGGAGGGGGAGGAAGAGAGAAAAAAGAACAAAGTAAAAAGTGCACAACAGAGAACAAAAGAAAACTTACAAGGAAGCAAAGAAAAGATGGACAGCTCTCAATACAATGCATAGTATTTATTATATAGGCTTCCTTGAAATGAAAATTTATTGCTCTGTGTTTTGAATCTTCTCATGTTCTGTTTTGCATATGGCAATATTGTTTTTCTTTTCTTATTTTATATTTAAGTTTTAATATTTAAGTTGATAATAAAAAAAGAAAAAAGAAAAAAAGGAAAAGTTGAAAAAGAAAAACAGGGAGTTATGTCTATTTTTAAAAAAATCATTATGTCTGTCATTTGTTAAAACAGTACCAGCAGCAGGAATCAAATGTCTCAGGTATCAGTACCCTGGGAGATTAACCTTTAAAATTTCTCCAGTTGAAACCATAAATAACTGGGCAATCTGCCAGAAAATGGAACTTGGAACTTAGAAAGGGACTGGCTGGCTCAGGACTTACCTTATTTCCATGTCTCTCAGAATCAACCGAGTCATCTAAGAGAGATAACAGGAGTTAAGTACTGCCAAAGATATTTGAGGGTAGGGAGCAGGGAGAATTGGGAGTTGAGGGGAGGTCTTAATCCTTTCAACAAGACTGCAACAAGACTGATAAAGATTACAATAAAGTGAGAAAATTGTGAAAACACCAGAGTCTAGAGCCAAGAAAAGAATTTGTTCCCCAGGATAGAGAGATTTGGAGGAAGGAGGATTGGAAAGTATTCTCTCTACTTAAGGAGTTCTTAATATGCGGTCCAGAGACCCATTCTATGTGTAAATTTCAGAGGATCCATATGTTGGGTGAGAAAAAATTGTATATTTATATTCACTCACCTCTGGTTGAAATTCAGGAATTCTTTTTGTAATGTGATTTTTGGGGGGGGTGAAACATTATTCTGAGAAAGATTCACCAGACTGCCTAAGGGAGTCCACTTTTTTCTTTTTAAGAAAGCTGACTATTAAACCAGCCTAATCCTGGGTCCACAACACAAAATAAAAGGAAGAACCTCTGTTCTAGTTATATTCTCTCAGCCTCAGTTTTCTCATCTGTAAAATGAGGATAAAAATAGCCCCTACCTCTCAAGTTGTTGTGAGAATTTAAAAAAAAGATATAATATGTGTAAAGCATTTTGCAAACTTCAAAGTGCTGTACAAGTCCTAAGTATTTTAGTTTTATTTTATTAAATATTTTATGTATTTTAAATATAAATTAAATATTATTATTATTGAAAACTTTAAGTTATATATTTGCATACATGCTAGATTTACTATTATTATCCAAAAACTAGAGACAAGGCTAAGACAACCGTAGGATGGCAAAAACACTTCTAGACAGACCCAGCAGACTTGGATTCAAATCCCAGCTGCGACACTTACTCACTATGAGACAATTCGCACCTTTATTTAATCTCTCTCAGCTTCATTATTCCTCATCTGTAAAACAGGGTGATCTCTCATGGGATTATTGTAAGGAGGGAGGACTTTATAAACTCTAAGGCACTACATAAGCTTAAGATATTATTAAGATATTCTAGACTGTGTTAACAACTTGGCTTAATAGCTAAATCCATGATGAAGTATAAATGATAAATTTCAAATCCTTCCCTAATGCCATTTTTTGATGGGGGAGTAGGAGCGCTGAGTGCCTTGAAGGAAAAGGAAGGGACGAGAGAGAGGTTTCATGGAAAAGGGAAACGTGTACAGAAAGGAAAAACTGAGGTCATAAGAGCCATAAACTTTGTTTACTTCATAATTGCCTCTGGCTGGCTCGGCTTCATAAAGTGGCTGAATTTTGAGGTTTGTCCAGTTACCCACTAATGTCATTGGGTTTAGGCCAGGTCTACTCAATAAAATATAGAGCTCCTCCAAGATTGTTCTTTCATAGATGACAGGGAAGACTTATAGGTAATCCAAGATCATCACTCTGAAACCCCAGGGAGGCTTAATCATTCCTAAACTCCCTCTTCTACTCCCTTCATTTCATTAAAGGTACTTCGCTTACAATGAGACAAAAATTTGAATGACCCCAAAGGTTACCACACTAAATCTACCTGACTTTTCTGGTGGATGAAGAGAGTACAATGGACCTGTACTGTATTGTAGCACAATGTATTGAGTTCTGGGCCTGAAGTCAAGAAGACTCATCTTCCTGAATTCAAATCTGCCCTCAGACACTTACTAGCTATGTGATTTAACCCTGTTTGCCTCAGTTTGCTCATCTGTAAAATAAGCTAGAGGAGGAAATGGCGGACCACTTCAGTATCTTTGCTAAAAACAAAAAAAAAACAAATGAGGTCCTAAAGAGTGGGAAACAGGGCAGCTAGGTGGCACAGTGGATAGAGCACCAGCCCTGGAGTCAGGAGGACCTGAGTTCAAATTCGGACTCAGACACTTGACACTTACTAACTGTGTGACCTTGGGCAAGTCACTTAACCCCATTGCCTAGTCAAAAAAAAAAAAAGAGTGGGATACAACTGAAATGACTGAACAACAACATGTTTCCAGTTGAACCACAAGGTGATATATACAGTGGAAAGAGCTTTAGATTTCCAGTCAGAGAACCTGGATTCAAATATCAGCTCTGCTATTTACTGTCTGTGTAACTATGGTCTAGTCACGTCTCTCTGGGCCTGTTTCCTTCCCATGTTGGGCCTTTAGATGACCTCAAAGTCCTTTTTCATTCTAAATCCTATGATACTATTACCTTATTTTGGGTATCATCTCAAGGTTCCCAGTTTCTAGTCAATAGGTTTTTTTTTAAACCAGACATTCACAGGCTCAAAGGCCATTCTATCTTCTTTTCTTAGCTACCCTTTCAAAAATAGTCTTTCTTTTTTTAATTATTTGAATACCAAGTACACAGTAATTATATTCCCAAGGGTTTTGAGAAAGGATAGACAGTATTCAACATCCTCATATTTGAAAGGGAAACTGGTTCAAGATGAATGAGCAGAAATGATTTTAAGGAGGAAGAAACAGGGAGACTACCAAAAAAAAACCCAACATGGACACCCAGGAAATTCACTGGCTGAAGCCATAGAGGTAGCTGCAGAAGATAGTAGCAAAGAAAAGTAAATGAGCTTGAATACAAAGGACTAGCACAGTATATAAGAATTGCATCAAGAAGCTTAGCAGCTCAAGAGGTAGATGGTACAGTGGAGAGAGTGGATTTGGAGTCAGAAAGAACTGAGTTCAAATTCTGCCTGAGGTACTTATTACCTACGTGATCCTGGTCAAGATGCAGGACCTCTTAGCCTCAGTTTCTCATATGTAAAGTGAGAGTAATAATAGTACTTACATCAAAAAGCTTTCGTAAGCATCAAATGAGATAGTATGTGTAAAGTGTTTTGCAAACCTTAAAGCAGTATGTAAGTACTAGCTATTACTGTTATTGGGGCAATGAGGGGGATACTGCCTGGCCTGAAGTCAGGAAGACATGAGTTCAAGTCTATCCTCAGATACTTACTAGCTGTGTGACCCTGAACAAGGCACTCAACCCCGTTTGCCTCACTTTCTTCATCTGTAAAATGAGCTGGAAAAGCAAAAAACAAACCACTCCAGCATTTTGCCAAGAAAATCAGCAAATGGGGTCACAAAGAGTCAGACATGACTAAAACAACTGAACAACAACATTACTGTTATTGTTATTATTAGAACAAGCCAAGGCTGGATATAAAAGTTAAAACAACTACAACAACTAAAAGATGTTTTTAAAAATATGTATGTACCTGTGTATCTGTCTATATCCAATCTATGTACAGAAATATGCCACATAAGATACAGATATTGAGAGAAATGATTATCAATAAGCAAAGATTTGGGGAGATCCAGAGTTCCCCCTTTTTTCCATAGTCCTCATTTCAAAATTCAGTCTCTTGAAAGACATTGAATTAACTCTCTTCAATCTTGATTAAACCCCACTCAACCTTATCGAAAAAATCTCTAATCTAAGGTGAAATTCCACTCAATCAAGCTTGGGTGAAGAGAGATCCTTTTGTCCAGATTGCCCAAGGCTGGAGGTGGTCTGGGTATAGGGATAGTCTCTCTGTCCAAGAGTGACCTGATGTCACTCTGAGCCCCTCATCGGAGTGAGCTCACTTCTCTTGGTAATGCCCACTTCTTATTAATTGATAACCAATCAGAGTTGATTACCACACTCAGGAACACCCCTCTTCCAAGGGCATATAAGCCATGAGCCTGCTGCCATGAGGGTCTTTGATATTTGAAAGTGCCACTGACTTTTTTATTAAAATGCTAGCATTATTAATAAAATGGCTAATTACCCCAGAAATCATGTCTCAAACTTTTTAAATGCCACAATATAGATGATATACATATATGTATACATGGCCTCCTGGGTATTCTATGAACAAGAGCCGGGGTGGGAAACCTGTGACCTCAAAGCCCCATGTAGTCTTTTAAGTCCTTGGGTGTGCCCTTTTGAACTAGCCCAAGTTTTAGAGAACAAATCATTTTATTAAGGGGATTTGTTCTGTGAAGTTTGGACTCAGTCAAAGGGCTTCACTTAACGACCTAAAGGGCCACATGTGACCTCGAGGCCACAGGTTCCCCACCCCTGATACAAGACACTCCATTTCTGGGCTCTGGGAATTTTCTCTGGCTGTCCCTCATACCTGGCACACTCTCTCCCTCCTCCCTTCCCACTACTGACCTCCCTGACTTTCTTTAAGGCCCAACTAAAGTTCTACCTTCTACAGGAAGCTTTCCCCAATCCATCTTAATTCCAGTGCCTTCCTTCTGTTAGTTATTTCCTATTTATCCTATCTATAGCTTGCTTTGTGTATATTTGTTTGCATGTTTTCTCCCCCATAAGAGTGTAAGCTCCTTGAGGGCAGAGACAATATTTTGTCTCTTTTTGTATCCTCAGCACTTAGCATAGTTCCTGGAACATAGTAGGTGCTTAATAAATGTTTATTAATTGACATAGATGGAGATGGAGATGGAGACATATACATAGACAGAGATGGAGATCAAGATGAAGACAGAGAGATATATGAAGCAAGAAGATCAAGGAAGCGGCAAAACAACATTTTGAGGTGGATGTGATAAAGGTTCTACACTGAAAGAGAAAGAGAAGGCCAACCATGCTAGATTCCATAGACAGAATAGCTATAGTATAGATAAAAATGCAGTCTATGCCCTCAGAAGTTCACAGAAGACAAAAATGTAACCCATGGCCTCATATATCTAGAATCTAGTGATGTCTGGACAGGAAGCTCTTCACTGGTGATAAATTTTCTCCCACTGTAACTCCCCATAACCATCTACAAAGATACAGAGACTTCAATATGAATAACTGTAGGGAGTACCCATACCAAGGAAATAGTGGCTTCTAGAAGTATGTCTATCTCTTATCTCTCTCTCTCTCTACTAGATAGTAAGCTCCCTGACTGAGTCTTAGCTCATTCTTCCCCACCCACCCCCGACTCCAGGACCCAGTTCAGTGCATTTCATACATTAGATGTATAATAAATACTTACTCTAATGATGAATGAATATATCTGGCACCTACCTTGACTACAGAAGAGATGTTACAGTGGATCAGGTTCTGTAATAAACAACGATTAATTCTCACACTCATTTAAGAAAATGACTTTGACAGCATGGCTTATACTGAGGAAGAGGATTGTGGACAAAAAAAAAAATCAGGTAGGATCTGAGCTGTTCCTGAGCCCCATTGCAAATAGGCATTTCCACCTTCTTTTTCTGTGCTTGCTTTCCCTCTATCAGTTTCCCATCCTTGTTTTAGCACTAAGCTATCTCATGTGGTAAACATTAACTGGAAAATCAGCTTGGACAGTGGAGATAGCATTAGACCTCGAGTCAGGAAGACCTGAGTTGAAATATAGCCTCAAACCTTTACTAATTGTGTGACTTTGTGCAAGTCACTTGAATTCTCTGTACCTCAGTTTCCTCATTTATGAAATGACGATTCTAATAATAGCACCTATCTCCCAAGATTATTGTGAGGATCAAATGAGATAATGCTAATAAAGAACTTCGTGAATCTTAAATTTTTGTATAAATGCAAGCTATTATTATTATCGTTGTTATTTTAAAAGGCTTCTATTACACTAGAAAGAAAAAGGTCAATTTAAAACAAAGATTCTTTAGCCTGCAAAAGAGAGAAGCAAGAAGGTAGCATGGTACAGTGGAAAGAATATTGAATTTTGAGATAAAATGTTTGGTTCCAAATCTCAATACTGCTCTTGTGTGGTACTAGGAAAATCACAACTTCTCTGAGCCTCCATTTTTTCGTCTGTAAAATGAGGCCCCTCCCCTAAAGTTATGATCCCTTTCTCAAATTCAATAAATCAGTCAAACTGGACTAATAGCCATTCCCAGAACTCAATATTCCTTCTTTCTTTCACCTCTGTGAGATCTTCACTGTATCTGGAATGTAATCCTTCTTCATCTTCACCTCTCAAAAATCTTTGATCTCCTTCAAGACTCAGTTTAGGTGCCATATCTTCCACTATGTCTTTCCTGATTGCCCCTCTCCCCACTTGTTAATACTCTCTCCAGGCTTGGCTTTCTTTGGCCTCTTCTTACTGGTGTACATCTTGTAAACCACCAGAAGAATGTGAGTTTCTAGATTGTTTGATTTCTGTCTTTGTATCTCCAGAAACCAGAACAGTGTTATACATAATAGATGTTGAATCCATCTTTGTTGAATTAAATTGGAGGACATTTGAGAAATGGTGATGTGTGTCTTAGACTCAGCCCTAGAGCTATATATCTGACCCTCAGCAATTGAGCTCAGTTCACACCCCTAAACAAATGGTATAGCATGGCATTGGAATATGGCACTTAGGCTCCAAGCTAAGCACTCTTTCCTTGATATCACTTTGCTCATCCAGTGAAGAAAAAGGAACTTTTAGCCTGGGTTAGGCAACAAGGGTTTTATCCTTCCTTAGACAATAAAAGCTAAGACAGGATCCTCAGAAGGTCACTGTTATCTGTACAGAATTCCATACCTACAATTTTGAATTACTTCTATAAGAATACAATAGTACATTAAATAATATTATCAGGCAGTGAGTTCCATATGGGGAAAAATATTATAAATAGGAAATGGATACTGTGGCAGGATATGATTGTATTGTATTAGTGACATGATTTGTGAAGTTTCATTGGCCAGGATGCCATTCTACATTATAAATCTATGTCTTATCTGGGAAAAGAGAGGAAGCCAAGCAGTTAGCCTGCTTTCTTTTATATATTAGTATCCATTGCTATGGATTCCTTCATCAGATTACCAGATTCTCACTTCAGATAGTTGATAGCTGAGCCTTGAAGTTTTTTATTTGTGGAAAGGAAAGGAAAGGAAAGGAAAAGGCTAATAATATAGGTTCCCATACTAGTGTAAAGTTGGGGGTTGATTCAATTAATCAATCAAACCAATGATTGGTTTTTTTCAATCTGATTTTCCTGAAGGTTAGGACTTTTAATGTCACAAAGTATATTCGATCAATCAAAATCTACACATATTTTATTATTAAGGACCAGAGAAAAGGAGGATTTTCTTCCCAAGTACAATTTAGAATTATATCACTAAGTAATAAAATAACTACAATATTTACATAACTAAGTTTTGCATAGCACCAATCCATCGAATCAAACCAGTTGTACCCTGTGGGTTTTATATAAACTAGCATACAAGTTAGGATTCTAGTGACAAGCCAAGAGAGAGCAATTTCAGCCAAGCCCTTGAAAGAGAATCACTTGGGAGGCAGAGGGACCAGAGAACAGCCCCTTGACCAAAAGTTATTGCCTTATGAACTTTGGTGGCTCAGAGGACTGTGATTTCTCATCCACATCCTAGCAGTGTCCCTGGGACAGCAATGACTGGCCACAGTGTCTGCATTGGGAGCTAAGGATAAGCTAGATATACTGAAGAAATGGCAGCTTGAAGACACTATAAGAATCCCAACATAAAGAAACACCATACCTATGCGGAACTTCACAAAAGGAGAAAAGGATTTCCAGCAACTAGGAGTTATGAGTTATCTCTTTTGCTAAGTATGTTCTATGCTTAAGCCCATATTCCATTGCATTCCATATGCACTATGTATCTGTGCCCCTGGGTTTGTGTGGGGGCTTTTTTGGGGGGGGAGGGGGAGGGTTATCAGCTGTTCTTACTGGTAAATCCTGGTTTTAAGTAGCAGCTAAAATCCTACCTTTCCCAATCCCTCTTAATTCTAGTACCTTCCCCCTGCTGATTATTTCCTATTTATCCTGTATAGAGCATGTTTGTATATAGTTGTTTGCTTGTTGTCTCTTCCATTAGATCTTGATCTCCTCAAGGGCTGGGACTGGTCTTTTGCCTTTCTTTGTATCCCCAGACATGTACCTGGCACATTGTAGGTGCTTCATAAATGTGTATTGACTTACTGACTAAAATCTAATTAAGTCTGACTGACTGATATCAGCTGATAATCAAAGTGGGGGAGGGACACAGTAGTCGGGGCTTGAGAGCTATAGTACTAGAAAATCACCCTCAACTGTTTTGAGTCACTAGACCTACAGGAAGACATGTAATAGCCTCACTCTGGAGACCCAACCTGCTAGCGGAGGTTAGCAGAGTGAGTCCAAAGACTGTGCTATATTGAGAAGGAAAGGCATTGTTAGACTACCACAGTATGGAATCCTGGACTCCAGGAGGAAATCCTGGACTCCTGGACTGTAGTGCCACAGTATGGAATCCTGGACTCCTGGATAACCTGGGGCATGGGGCGGGGGGAGGGGAGGTCGTGAAGAGGGAGCAGCAAAAATAGGGAGAGGTCATCAAAGACACACTTCACTTAGCTTACAGTTTGGACTATGGCCAACCCAGATGTGACCCAACTCCCCCACCCCTCAGGCCTTAGGTTGTTGACCCCTGTGATTATCTAGCAGGTAGACCCCAGGGTTCAGTTGTTGCTAGGTAAGATGAACAATATATAAATAAGAAAGCAAACCTACTAACCTGTACTTCCTCTGGTGCACTGAGGAAATGGAATGGAATATAGTTATGGAGCATTCCAACGTTGTTGACTGAGAAAACAGAAGAATTTAAAGCATGTCAAAAGGTACCTGTGATATAGAAAACAGATTCACAATAATCTGATTTTCCTCAAAGTTAGGACTTTTAGGCCCCAAAAAGTATAATTGATCAATCAAAATCTACATATACTTGACTATTAAGAACCAGAGAATAGAGGGATTTTCTTCCCAACTACAATTTAGATTTATATCACTGAGTAGTAAAATAACATTTTTTGTTATCTAAAATATCTAAAATTTTGTTATTTAAAAATGCAAGTTTAAGTTTTGCAAAACACTTTCCTTACAACCCTGTTGTGTGGTAGTATAGGTATTATTATGCCAATTTTATAGGTGAGGAAACTGAAACTCAGAGTTTAAGTGCCATGCCCATGGTCACAAAGAGTAAATGTAGGATTCCAAGTCCAAAGTATATGGATCAGGGTAAATGTTAACATCTTGTCCTGTCCCTCCCATACCTTTTAAAAAATAATAATATAGTATAACATTTTTTAAAAATAGTAAACCCTCAATTACCCATATGTAATTACCCACATGTAATAATCTACAGAAGATTCTCAGCAACTTTTTTATGCCCAAACTAGCTTCTGTTTGCCAACCCAAATTATTGAGCAACAACTTCCTCTGATAATTGAAATGTGATAACTGAATGAAAATTCATTTGAAGGTTACCTTAAACAGAATATAATTAGGATGGAAAATCTTATGAGGGCAGGTGGGGAAGGAGAAGCAGCATAGAGTGTATTCCCAAAATAATTATATTTGGCACAAGCTGTGGCGTAATGGAGAAAAATGCTGAATACCAGGGTTTGAGTTTCAATGCTGCCATTTCCTAGCCTCAGTGAACCACTAGGAATCTGTTTCCTTATCTGTAAAATGTACACTACCCTCTCACAGCGCTGTTGTAAAGATCAAACAAAATAATACATGTAAAATGCATTGTGAAACAAAGCACTTATACAAATATAAACTATTATTCAGATAGTTGAAATTACTGTTCCCTTCCATTTGCGAGAACAATTAAAAATTGAATATAATTTAAAATATAGCTATGCATTCATTTTGAACTGACCTCATTTAGTAAATGAAGCTGTAAACATCAGTCAGATAATTATTAAGTCAAACTTCCACTGTTATCAAGGCAAATTTTGCATTCCTAATGAACTTACCTAAAATTCCAATTTCTAATCCTTGAAGGTTCTCTTTGATGTTCTCATATATGTCATCTTTGGTAAAGTCTGCTTGTATGATCTTTACATGACTACCTGTTGTCTCCTCTGCAAAGATGAGAATAAAAAGTGTACAAAAGAAGACCCTCATTTTCTCCATTGGTAATATGGGGCCTCCATTTTTTTTTCAAATAATTCCCAAAGAAGACACTTAGAAGGAGAATTCCACTACTGGAATCTATAAATTTTCTCTTTATTAAGACATAAAACATAAATTCCATTAGTATATAAAATAAATTACTGCAAATAACAAGACTTGCTCAAGATCTGTCATGGAGAACATGACAAAGTTCCTTTGATCAGTTACTATGGTACCACTTTACACATTCTGCCTACCTTCAATCCACATTCTGTTGTCTTGGGGGCAGAGCCAAGGTCGCAGCTGCCTATGGTGCATAGTACATGGGGATGTGATTATGCATGTGTGTATGTGTGTATACATATATACATACCCATATATACATGTACACATATTGTTAATGTCAAAAATATTACAAATATTTTGTAATATGATAAACAATGTGATAGTCAATCAGTCAATGTTGTTGTTTGTCCTTTGTTTTCAATGGGGACCAATGACATCAGGGCTAATGTCTTGACTTGCAAGTGAACTGGATATAAGTGAGGCAGAATTGTGCAAAGTTGTCAGCCTCATTCTTCCAGAGTTATTGAAGTCACCAGTAAATAAGCATTTATTGTGCACCTACCATCTGCCAGATGAATATGCTAAGCACTCTATACTTCAGAATTCTGTCAGCAGGAAAAGAATATTATCGGGCATCAGGCTCAAACGTCACTGTTTCTTGTGGAGAAAGCCATAACTATTGATCTTCTTCAGCTAATACTTGACTTTTGGGCACTGCTATCTCACCTTTTGGATTTTGTAGCAGTTATTATTACACTGTATGAAGGGCACTTCAGTCTGAAGACAATTTAAACTTATTTAAACTGATCAGATGGACTTTATAATCAAAGTATATTCTCCATTGAACATCAGACTGCAAAGCACTTTAACTTGATGATCCAATGAATGACTGCAACCAATGTTGCAGGGTGATCAGTTGCTAGCAAGTTTGTAATTAAAACCATATATAAGTAGTTTCAGTTTTGGGGTGCTGTTATTGCTATGCCTCAATATAAGCATATTACCCTCCTTGGAGGGCAAAATTGAGTTCATATTTTCACTTGATTGGAAGAGAGAAGATTCAGGGAATAGATAGTTTCACAGAGTTTTATAATCTTTCCTGGGGTTTTTAATTCCCAGCTCTGTTGGGGAAGAATTTTGGAACCACTGTTTCTTGATTCTCAAATAGATTACCTAAAATCATGGGGGGTAACATGGGTTTGTACACAATTTTCATGATTGCACAGGAACACACGCAATATTCATGCATTAAAAAATGGGTATTAAAGGTCACTCAGTCTCTCTGTTCTGAGGTTGGTGCAGACAATTTCTCTCTTTTTTTGTGATTATATTTTTAATAGTATTTTATTTTCCCCCCAATTACATGTCAAGATAATTTTTAGCATTCCTTTTTATAAGATTTTGAGTTCCAAATTTTTCTCTTTTCCTCCCCCCTCCCTTCTTCCAAAAACAGTAGGCAGTTTGATATAGGCTACACATGTACTATCATTATAAAACATATTTTCATATTAGTCACAATTCTGAAAGAAGCAGATCAAAAGAAAAAAAAACATGAAAAAGAATAAAGTAAGTGAAAAAAGTATGCTTTGATTTGCATTCAGAGTCCATCAGTTCTTTATCTGGATATGGATAGAGTTTTCCTTCATGAGTCCTTTGTACTTGTGTTAGATTATTGTGCTGCTAAGAGCTGAATCATTCATAGTTGATTATCACACAATGTTGCTGATACTGTGTACAATGTTTTACTGGTTCTGCTCATTTTACTTTGCATCAGTTTGTACAAGACTTCCCAGGTTTTTTTCTGAAATCTGCCTGTTTATCACATCCTATCACATAATAGTATTCCATTACATTTACATACCATAGCTTGTTCAGTCATTACCCAATTGATGGGCATCCCCTCAATTTCCAATATTTTGCCACCATGAAAAGGGCTTCTATAAATGTATTTCCACATGTAGGTCATTTTCCCTTTTTATGATCTCTTTGGGATACAGACCTAGTAATGGTATTGCTGTATCAAAGGGTATGCACAGTTTGGTTTCCCTTTGGGCATAGTTCCAAATTGCTCTCCAGAATGGTTGGATCAGTTCACAACTCTACCAACAATGCATTAGTATCCCAATTTCCCATATGCTCTCCAATATTTATCATTTTCCTTTTTTGTCATATTAGCCAATTTGATAAGTGTGAGGTGGTACCTCAGAATTGTTTTAATGTGCTTTTCTCTAATCAAATGTGATTTAAAGCACTTCTTCATATGCCTATACATAGCTTTTATGTCTTCATCTGAAAGCTGCCTATTCATATCCTTTGACAATTTATCAATTGGGGAATAGCTTTGTTTTCTTATAAATTGGACTCTCTATATTTGAGAAATGAGGCCTTTGTCCATGACACTTGCTGTAAAGAATGTTTCCCAGCTTTCTGCTTTTCTTCTAATCTTGGTTGCATTGGTTTTGTTTGTGCAAAAGCTTTTTATTTTAATATAATCAAAATTATCTATTCGACAATTCATAATGCTCTCTATCTATTGTTTGCTCATGAACCTGGAACTCATTTAACTTCTTCTTTAAGAATTTGGATGCTATACGACTTGGTTCATGTATGTTTAGTAATGATATTACTTCATTGTCTATGGTACCTTTTAGCAACATGTAGTTTCCTTCCTTACCTCTTTTAATTTTGTCTATTTTGTGCTTTCTCTTTGTCTGAGATCAAGATTGCTATCCCTGCTTTCTTTTTTTTTTTTGCATCAGCTGAAGCATAATAGATTCTGCTCTAGCCCCTTATCTTTACTCTGTGTTTGTCTCTCTGCTTCAAGTGTGTTTCTTGTAAACAACATATTGTAGGATTCTGGTTTTTGATTCACTCTGCTATCTGCTTCTGTTTTATGGGAAAGTTCATCCCATTCACATTTACAGTTATGATTACTAACTATATATTTCCCTCCATCCCATTTTTCTTCCTGTTTGTCCTCTCTCTCCTTTGACACTTTCCCTCTTCACCAGTATTTTGCTTCTGTCTACTCTCTCCTCCAGTCTGCCCTCTCTTCTGTCCATCTCTCCCCCCTCCCCCCACTTTACTTAATCTCTTCCCCTCCTACTTTCCTATCAGGTAAGATAGATTTCAATATTCAACTTATTGTTTATATTATACCCTCTTTGAGCCAATACTGATGACAATAAGGTTCAAGTGATGCATATCTCCCACCCTCCTATTTATCTCTCTACTCTAATAGGTTTTTCAAGCCTCTTCATGTGAAATAATTTATCCCATTCTATGTCTCCCTTCTGCACCCATTTTACTCCTCTTTCTCATCCCTTAATTATTTTTTATATTATTCCTTCAAATTCACCTTATACCTGTATTCTCTGTCTATGTATATGCCTTCTAGCTGTGCTATTACTGGTACAATTTTTAAGAATTCCAGGTATCATCTTACCAGGTAGGAATGTAGGTTGAACCCCTTCTGTTTTATTTTCCCTTTTTATCTATTTATGCTTCTCTAGGGTCTTGATACTGGAGGTCAAATTTTTTATTCAATTCTTGTCTCCTTATGAAAGCTTGAAATTCTTCTATTTCATTGAATGACCATTTTTTCCCTTGATGTATTATGCTTAATTTAGCTGGGTAAGTGATTCTTGGTTGTAGTCCTAGCTCCTTTGCCTTCTGAAATATCATGTTCTGTGATCTCTGATCCTGCTAAGTCCTGTGTAATCTTGATGGTGACTCCCCGATATTTGAATTGTTTCCTTCTGGCCATTTATAATATTTTTTTTCTTGACCTGATGGTTCTGAAATTTGGGCTATAATGTTCCTTGGGATTTTTATTTTGGGATCTCTTTTCTGAGGTCATGGGTGACTTCTTTTGATGCCTATTTTGCCTTCTGGTTTCAGGACATCAGGGCAGTTTTCCTTGATAATTTCTTGAAAGATGCTGTCCAGGTCCTCCTTTTGATTATGGCTTTCAAGCAGTTCAATGATTCTGACATTGTCTCTCCTGGATCTGTTTTCCAGGTCAATTGTTTTTTCCAATGAGATATTTTACATTTTCTTCTATTTTTTCATTCTTTTGAATTTTTTGATTGATTCTTGATGTCTCATGGAGTCATTTAAATTTATATTTTAAATTCTAACTTTTAAGAAGTTGTTTTCCTCAGTTAGCTTTTGTACTTCCATTTCCATTTGGCCAATCCTACTTTATAAGTAGCTATTTTCTTTTTCCAAGCTCTTGACTCTTTTTTCATAATTCTCTTGCATCACTCATTTCTTTTCTCGATTTTTCTTCCACCTTTCTCAAATGATTTTTAAGCTCCTTTTTGAGCTCTTCCATGACTTCTTTCTGGGCTTGAGACCACTTCCTGTTTTTCTTTGGGTTTTTGCCCATAGGTGTTTTGACATTGCTGTCCTCTTCTGAGTTTATGTCTTGGTCTTCCCTGTCACCACAATAACTTTCTGTGGTCAGATTCTTTTTTTGTTGCTTTTTGCTCATCTCTTTTGGCCTTTTTCCTTTCTTTTAAATTTGAGCTCTGCTTCCCGCGCGGAAGGGACACTGTCTCAGGCTTCTTATGCCAGGGGCTGCATGCCCTGGCTACTTACCTAGTGTTGCCCTGAGGCCCACAGGAGACCCTTGTGCCTGGTGCTGCCCTGAGGTGGTAGGATGGGGGGTGGCTGGTGCTGCTGGAGGCTGTAGGGGTCTGGCAACTTACCTGGTGCTAAGCTGGGATCCTAGTGCTGGTATCTGGTGTGTACTGAGGCTGGTGGGGTGTTTCTGTGTTTCCCAGGGCTATATCGGAGCATACAGTGGTCTGACTGCTGGTGGCTACCTGTTTGCCCAGGGCTTTGCTGAAGCAAGTGGAGGTCTGGTTGCTAACAGTTGCTTATTTGCCTAGGGCTATGCTGAAGCACATTTGCAGTGGGGGTGGGGGCTGGGGCTGGGACTGCCTGTTTGCTTAGGCATCTGTAGGGTTGGCTCTACCTATTTGCCCAGGGGTATTTTGAAACAGGTGGCAGTTCCAGCTGCTGGAGGCTGTCTGCTTGTCACAGGGCTATGCTGAAGCACTTGGGGGCTTTCAGAGCTGGAGTCTACCTATTCACCTGACTATACTGAGTCATATGGAGGGTCCTGGTATTGTTTGACTGCTCAGGATCTCCTGCTAGTTTGCTGAGGTGGGGCTTCATGCTGACTTGCTAGGATGCCTCCTATCCTGAACTACGTTCCCATTTTACCTGAGGGAGACAGACCTGTCTTACTGATCTTCCAAGTTTCTTGAGCTAAAAGATTGTTTCACCCCACCTTTTGGCTGGTTCTATTGTTTTGTTTGTTTTGGGATGCTATTTTATGGTTTTTTGGAAGTGAGTATGGGAGGGCTATGGGCATTTCTTGCTTACTCCACCATCTTAGCTACTGGAAGTTATCTACGGTGCAGACAATTTTAATGGAGAGTTTTAGTGCTTTAATTGTAAAGGTATTCCTTGTTCATTTATCTTTTAGTGATGTAGGGGAGACATAAGGATTGCTCAAATCCTGACATCATCGATACTTGTTACTCACTCCTTATGTCTAGCCAGAGAATAAAGGCAGGTTTACCAGCCAAGACTATGGGTAGGTAGCTGGGAGGACAGAAAGGAAAGGCACGGAGAAAGAGTAAAATAAGATTTACCTTCCCACAGACATGCCACACCTCAGAGGCATCACTTTAGAGACCCTTTTTCTACCAAAAATGTATCAAGGCTACCATAGCAGGTAACAGGCTGAAGGCAGAAAGGATGAGCAGCCTTGTTCTACAATTCTCAAAACAGTTCTTTTCATTACTAGGAATCACTTACCAATCCCTTTTGCAACTGCCTGGAGTTTTTCAAGTGTCCTGCTGATCATCACAATATTTAGTCCACGTTTTGCTAGCTAGAGAGGTTTAAAAAACTTGAGATTATCAATAGGAACAGCTTCTTGTTTTAACAGATAAGTGCAGAGCTTTGCTGCAGCACAATTATAGCAATCGCTATCGAGTCCTGGCTTAAGCCTGCTATTAGACTGTGGAGATTCCCAGAGTCAGACAAGTCAGATAGCTGGACATGGAAGAAGAAAGGGGCAAAGCAGCCACAAATACATGAAAGGCTCTAAGTGAATGATAGGACATTTTCCTGGCAGTAAATGAGTTAACATGTCTACAACACTTTGCAAAACTAAAGTTCTATATAAATGTTAGCTATTATCTCCATCATCATCATCATCATCATGTGGAATCTAGCTCCTATCTGTTTATGAGAGAATGTAGCATGAGTGAATGTGTGGAAGCAGAGGGCATAATGATTTAACTCAAGTAAATGCAACTAATGTGTCTATCATCCACTATAAGAGTCAATGAGATGCATAAATGTGAGTGAGATATGTTAGTGTATATTGGTGAGTGAGCAGGCATGTTATTCAGGTTGGGATCCCTGAGCAATTTAAGGGTATGTTTCAGGAACTTAGTAGGGATCCTGGAGTGAAATATGCCCCCTGAGCAAAGCTCCATTTAGGGGGCAAGGGGTAATTGCGTAGGAAGGCAGTCAGAGAGTTCAGAGTGGGGTCCTAACGATCCACACAAAACAACTCAAAATCTTTTAAACTGTTGTAATGGAACCCTGAAAGAGATAATTAAATTATTAATCTAGTTTTGAACTCCAGTAGTCTCTTCCTAGAAAAGAAGGCACTCAGAGTGGTATAAGAGAGCTCAAGGCCAAAGATTGAGAACAAGAGAGGCAGAGAGAGACAGACAGAGACAGAGAAGGAAAGAGGCAGAGAGAGAGAGACAAAGAAAGAAATAGAGACAGAGACAAAGGAGAGAAATAGAGAGAGAAAGAGAAAGCCAGAGAAGAAGAAAAAAGAGGTCTGTGTCATCTGTATCTCATAACCAGACTGTTACATTTGTTCCTCCCATGTGACTTTGAGACTAGACATGAGTTAACTCACTACATAAAATAAAATGGCAAAATCAAAGTCCTGAAATGCTGATACTCATAGGGTCATAGGTTTAGAGATGGAAGGTATCTTAAAGATTACCTAGTCCAATTTCTTCATTTTACAGATAAAAAAAAAACTGAGCCCCGTGGATGGTAAAGGAATTGTCCAATGTCACAAATGTAGTGAGTGGCCAAACCAAGATTCAGTCTGAAGTTCTCTGACTCCACATCTTTCTACTGCACAAACCTAGCTACCAACCAAAACATGTTACTGTTATGTACAATTTCACTTGAGTGGACAAATGCAAAAATTCTATAACTGGATTCTTCTGAAGATTTTCTTCGTTTACTTAAGTGGGAGTAACCATAGAGAGGTACTGCCATCTCCTAAATAATGTTGTTTTTGATATCTCCAGATTTAGCTCTTTCTCCTCCTCAAATTATCATGTATATGCATGTTACATCCTCTCAGAAGACTATAAGCTCCTTGAGGGCAAGAACTATTTCCCGCTTTGTTAGTCCCAACGCCATTCACAGTGCCTTGCACATGCTGTTGTTGTCATTTAGCCATTTTTCAGTCGTGTCTAACGCTTCATAACCCCTTTTAGGGATTTTCTTGGCAAAGATACTGGAGTGGTTTGCCATTTCCTTTTCCAGCTCATTTTACAGATGAGGAACTGAGACAAGCAGGGTTATGACTTGCCCACAGCCCACAGATACCACAGTACGTATCTGAGGCTCCATTATAACTCATGAAGATGAGTCTTCCTGATTCCAAACCCAGTGCTCTTTCCATTGCACCACGTAGAAAGTAATAAATAAGTATTTGCAGGATTGGATTGAAAATATAAGTCTAAGAAGCAACTTGCAAATAAAAGCTAACTGCAAATAATTGTACTTTAAGTCAGAAACAAATCTTAGAGTATATTTTATTTTTAAAAAATTAATATTGCTCATATATCTCTTTCCCACTTTACCCATTCACATAAACAACAATCATTTTTTTTAATAGCCTCATTTTTGATTGGCAAGGAACTGTATCTACAACAAGGGTGAAATATTTCCATAAATTGGGTGGTCTTTTTTCCATTTCTATTACTAAAGTTTAGTTTTTGGAATGAAGAAATTCATGAACACTATTTTGAAACTTTTCTGTAGTTTTAAAACATATTTTAAATGTTCAGAGCAGGGCAAAAACATCAGAGGTGGGAGGGGGCACTTGCTCTTAAGAAATAGGCTGACCTGACCAGGCTGGTGTTAAAACTACAAAGCTTATCAAAGAGTGGTTCAGTACTAATTGAGTATTGTTTTTTCCTCTCAAAAGATGAGAAGATAACTGATTGAGTAAAGGAATTTGATTACTACCTTATGATTAGAAGGAAATTATTCATGGCGTTGAACAATACACAGAAGAGGAAAGAAAGTGACATCATCTTTCTCTTCTATTTGAGAACTGAAAGAAAGACAGTCAAGTAATAGGAAGTATAGGGGAAAGTGGTTTGGAACCTCTCATGTGATTATCAAGGCATTTCTCTTTTATGGGAGGGAGCCTAACCAATTAGTGAGAGTTAAACTTTTGAGAGAGGAAGTCATCCTAGCAACAATTCTCAATTAATGTAGCCAGTTGAATAAAAGGCCATGACGACTTTTAATGCCTAAATTGCATTAAAAGTTCCTAGGCTTTGCAAGGGCCAATATTTAAAAGCATAGTAATTTAGAGAAAGCAAAAGTTTCCAAGGGAGGAAAAAAATAAAACAAAGATTTTCTTAAATAACAATTCATAGTATTGGAGTTAATGGCAAAGATTTCAGCATATAAACCATAGATGTTTGAATTCCTTTAAATCTTGCTCTGTATTATATCTTGCATTAACTATATTTATAATGATAATTAATATTTCATTAAGTAATTTTTTTTATGTTTATGAATGTGTTTTTTTTTAACAAGCATAAGGCTAAATCATGTTTCTATACTACTGGTTATGTATCCCAACTGTGTATACTTTACTGCTAGACCTATGCAAATAATCCCAAAGGACTTCCTGTTGGCAGCTGCCTTGATTATAGGAATGTGGACGATAGATTCAGACCTGGATGAGATCTCAGGGGCCATAAAGCCAAACCCCTCCATTTTACAGATGAGGAAATTAAGGCACAGAATGATATCATCTAGAAGAAACTAAATGACTTTATAGGGCTGGTTTTAAAATCCAAGTGTATTTGTGGAACAAGACTGCCACAATTGATTTAACAAGTTGCTGTGCTAAAAGTGTAGCTACAGAACTTCAGGCAGGGAGGAGGTGGCCATGTATCTCTATATAAATAGTCTAATTACCTGCTTTGGCATCTGTGATTTCTTGTTCCCACACTGCTCCCAATCTTCTCAATACAATTAGCTTTTCTGGAACCTTTTTCTGCATAAAACTTGAAGCTTGTGAAGATGAGAAGGGAATACAGATTCATGGGTTTGCCTTCTGCATGTGATTTCTTCTCCATGTTTTACCCTTGTGTGGACAGTTGCAAGGGAGACCTCTTAAGTTTGTTTCCACAAGTGTATTTGGTAGCAACAAGAAGTAGAAAGAAGATTGGTATATGTGTCTTTGAAGTGATCACAAGTCAACCAATGTGCTAGTTGAATATGACAAGGGTAGAAGCAGAGGCAGTGGTTAGAGCAAGGGTAGCCTTTGGGTATGACCTGATAGGCAGGATTATGTGACTTGTCCAGGGTCACACAGCTATTAAGTGTGTGAGGCCAGATTTGAAGTCAGGAATATTAGTCTTCCTGACTCCAGGTCCAGCACTCTATTCCCTTCACCACTTAGCTGCCCTAGAACTTAAACATGCAACACTATATTGTTTCCTCAACAGTTCATCCTCTTAGAGTTGCCAAATTGGTATTCCTAAAGCACAGGCCTGGCTCAGTCAATGACTGAAGGAGATGGCTCCCTACTGCTTCTAAGATAATAAAGATATAAATGTGTAAAGATAATGAGATATAAATTCCTCTGTCTGGTATTTCAAGTCATTCATAGTCTGGCTGTGACCTCTTTTCCCAGATTAAATTGACATTAGTCTCCTCACATGCTTTATGTTAACAAGCATTCACCTTGCCCCACATACTGTGCTAAGTGCTGGGTATACAAAGAAAAGCAAGTGCAGTCCCTGAACTCAAGGAGCTTATCTTCTCATGGGGACACAACACGCAAACAACTGTGAATGTATAGTATGACATAAATACAGAGTAAATTGGAGCTAATCTCAGAGGGAAGGCCCTGGCATTGAGGGGGACTAGGACAGGCCTCTAGCAGAAGGTGGGGTTTGAGCTGAGACTTGAAGGAGTCACGTAAGACCAGATTCTTCAGCCAAATTGATCTACCTGGAGTCCAAAACATGACACCCCATCTTCCCCATATCTTCTCTATCTTCTCACATTTGGAATTCATTTTCTGTTCACCACCATCTCTTGGGTGCTAAGTCTCTTCCCAGCCCAGTTCAGGTGCCACTTTCCACTTAAGACCTCTGTGGGTCCACCTAGTTGTTAATGCTCCCCCGCCTCTCAATTGCTTCATAAATAGTTTGTATTGACCTATCTGTCTACTCTAGCAGAATAGAAACTGCTTGTGGGAAGGAACTGTTGTACTTTTGGCTGTGTATTCCCAATTCCTGATACAGTACTTGGCACATAGTATCTACTTTATAAAAGCTCATTGAATGAGTGAACAAAAGAATCTCAACACATACAAATATATCTCAATATGAGGTCATCTGGATACAAAGAGGCAACAAGTGAGGCAGTGGAAAGAATGCTGGGCATGGACAAGAAGACACCGGTTCAAATCCAGCCTCAGACACTTAACTAGTTGTATAACCTTGGGCAAGTCACTTAACCTGTTTGCTTGTTTCTTTAATTGTAAAATGGGAATAATAATAGTACCTACTTCCTAGGGTTGTTGTGGGATTA